GGTCTAGTGTTAGTTCTAGTTTTACACTAGCACTATCACTAGAACTAACACAAGACCTAGAACTAGAATCATTCGGGTTTAGCCGCACGTCTCTCAAGACGGCTAAACCCGAATGTTTCTAGTTCTAGGTCTAATGTTAGTTCTAGTGTCAGTGCTAATGCAAAACTAGAACTAACACTAGACCAAGAACTAGAATCATTCGGGTTTAGCCGTCTTTTGAGACGTGCGGCTAATCCCAAATGATTCTAGTTCTAGGTATAGTGTTAGTTTTATATAGTAACAGTACTAATTTTAATTGTTATGCTAGATTCGCCGTCTTTAGAGACGACTAAACCCGTCTGGTTCTAGATCTAGTATTAGTTCTAGTTTTATACTAGCACTATCACTAGAACTAACACAAGACTTAGAATGTTTATAGTTCTAGGTCTAGTCTTACATCATCTTTTCCAAGCAAAACTGTTCCTTTTGCAAAACTACCCAATACCTGTACTATTAAGCTATGTTGCATTTTATGTGGAGCAGTAACTATGGTTATTGCATTAATATATTGCGAGTTATATGAAATTGCCGATATACTTTTCGTGTTGTTAATATTGGTGTAAATAATTCCCTATTTTTCTTCCATTTTTGACCAACATTTGAAAATAACATTCCTGCTAAAACGGGATCCAAACTTGGTTCAACGGTTAATTCATTTTTCCAAAATGAATCAGAACCGTGCACAAAGGCTTCTTCAATAAGTTCGGGTGTTGTTAATAAGAGACATGGTGTTCTCATTTTATAGAAACCAACAAATGGGGATTTTGAATATTTACTGAAATAAAATTAATTATTACATTTTTATTCAATTTTTTGTATTTTCTTACCGATATATCTCTCCAACTATTTGAGGAATATTTTTGTGAAAAAATGCAGCGTCTTTAATACTCCCAAAAAATAATTTCGGTTGATCGAATGGAATCTTTTTCTTCTTCCAATAATCATAATTACACGTTGAATATTTATACAACGCAATAATAAAAAGAACCAACAAAATTAAGTATAACATTGTCATCGCAGAATAAGAATTAAAAATAATGAATTTTTAGTTTCACCTAATTTATATATTTTTCCAACATATCTTAATTTGATGATTACCTTTAATGAAGAAATAAAATTACACTTAAAAACAAAGTATCAGATATAACGATGCATTATGCGGTTACCATAATTCATTGGCGTAACAGTACGGTAATAGGGTGTCGAAAAATAAATTTTAATACAATAACAAATGTCACTTAATAATTTTTTCTAAATTCTTCTAAATTTATACTTAATAATTATTTCTAAATTTATAATTAATTACTTCTTTCTAAATTTATCTAAACTCTTAAAAAATAAGGTAAAAAAATAATAACATAAAAATAATTTTACAAAAATATACGGGAATGCACGCCATTGGCAAATCAATGTTAATTGTGCACTTTACGAGCCTAACGTTAAACGTATTTATTGTACTTTAACATATATCGCCAAATTATGATAACACGTTTAAAAAAATACGAAGAAATTAAATTAATTTGCGTTGTTTAAATTACATCTACAATATTACAATGCAGTTAAACGATTTCTAAGGATTTATATCTTTAATGTAAAGCTACAAAATTTCAAGGAATATTTATCATCATGGTTGCAAAAGACTAAAAACTGATTGCAAAAAATAAATGCTGTCTATAGAATGCTATATATTGTATGCAATAGTCTAGATACTGCTAGCAGAAGATTAAATATTGTTTGCAGAAGACTCTATATACTGCTTGAAATAGTCTAGAAGGTTATAAGTAGTGATGGAACAGATAGTGATTTTGCGAAAAGTCGGATACCGGATATTCGGTATCCCCTTCGGCCGGATTTGCGGTTATCCGGCATATCTATCCGGCCATTATGGTTATAATTTCTGGTACATTTCTGAAATGATACCCTACATTGCCACATTATTGCGATATTTGAATGAAAATGAAATTAATAAGAAAACTGATAAGGTATGTGAACTTATTTATTTGGATCCAAGATACAAAATGAACTTTTTTGATGCTGATTTAACTAACGAAGCAACTCTAAAAAGAGGATACTTTAAATGAAATGAATTTTATAGCGAATTTTGAAAGTTATCGATGAAAATTGCAATATGGAAAATTTTATCAAAACTTCAAATATTGTTTTCTCAAAAACTAAAAGTTATTTTTCAAAACGGCTTTTTGCATTAAAAAGAGGATACTTTAATTAATAACTGGCGATATTCCCACAAGGATCCTTCAAGAAATTAATTTTATAGCGTATTTTGAAAATTATCGATGAAAATTGTAATATCGAAAATTTTATCAAAACTTCAAATATTGTTTTCGCAAAAACTAAAAATTATTTTTCAAAACGTGTTGGTTTATTGGAAAGAGGACACTCTTATTGACACTTTGAAAAATGTTCATACTCATATTCCAAGAAGTGGATTTTATACGAATTTTTAAAACTTAATCGGCGAAAATTGCAAAATTCGAAAAAATTATCGATCATTTCAAAAATTTATTTCTCAAAAACTAAAAGTGATTTTTCAAAACTGCTTGTTGCATTAAAAAGAAGATGCTTTAATTAATAATTGGTGACATTTCCACAAGTATCCTTCAAGGAATTAATTTTATAGCGAATTTTGAAAATTATCGATGAAAATTGCAACATCGAAAATTTTATCAAAACTTCAAATATTGTTTTCTCAAAAACTAAAAGTTATTTTTCAAAACGGGTTGGTTCATTGGAAAGAGGACACTTTTATTAACACTTTGGGAAATTTTCATACTCATATTCCAAGAACTGGATTTTATACGAATTTTTAAAACTTAATCGGCGAAAATTGTAAAATTCGAAAAAATTATCGATCATTTCAAAAATTTATTTCTCAAAAACTAACAGTGATTTTTCAAAACGGCTTGTTGCATTAAAAAGAGGATGCTTTAATTAATAAATTTTGATATTTCCGCAAGGATTCTTCAAGAAATTCATTTTATAGCGAATTTTGAAAATTATCGATGAAAATTGCAACATCGAAAATTTTATCAAAACTTTAAATATTGTTTTGGCAAAAACTAAAAGTTATTTTTCAAAACAGGATAGTTCATTGGAAAGAAGACACTTTTATTAACATTTTATGAAGTTTTCATACTCATATTCCAAGAAATCGATTTTATGCGAATTATTAAAATTTAATCGGCGAAAATTGTAAAATTCGAAAAAATTATCGATCATTTCAAAAATTTACTTCTCAAAAACTAAAAGTGATCTTTCAAAACTGCTTGTTGCATTAAAAAGAGGATGCTTTAATTAATAATTGGTGGTATTTCCACAAGGATCGTTCAAGCAATTAATTTTATAGCGAATTTTGAAAATTATCGATGAAAATTGCAACATCGAAAATTTTATCAAAATTTCAAATATTGTTTTTGCAAAAAGTAAAACTTATTTTTCAAAACGTATTAGTTCAATGGAAAGAGGGCACTCTTATTAACACTTTGGAAAATTTTCATAGTCATATTCCAAGAAGTGGATTTTATACGAATTTTTAAAACTTAATCGGCGAAAATTGCAAAATTCCAAAAAAATTGTCAATCATTTCAAAAATTTATTTCTCAAAAACTAAACGTGATTTTTCAAAACGGCTTTTTACAATAAAAAGAGGATACTTTAATTAATAATTAGTGATATTTCCATAAGGATCCTTCAAAAAATTAATTTTATAGCGAATTTTGAAAATTATCGATGAAAATTGCAACATCGAAAATTTTATCAAAACTTCAAATATTGTTTTCTCAAAAACTAAAAGTTATTTTTCAAAACGGGTTGGTTCATTGGAAAGAGGACACTTTTATTAACACTTTGGGAAATTTTCATACTCATATTCCAAGAAATGGATTTTATACGAATTTTTAAAACTTAATCGGCGAAAATTGCAAAATTCGAAAAAATTGTCGATCATTTCAAAAATTTATTTCTCAAGAACTAAAAGTGATTTTTCAAAACGGCTTTTTGCATTAAAAAGAGGATACTTTAATTAATAATTGGTGATATTTCCACAAGGATCCTTCAAGAAATTAATTTTATAGCGAATTTTGAAAATTATCGATGAAAATTGCAACATCGAAAATTTTATCAAAACTTCAAATATTGTTTTCTCAAAAACTAAAAGTTATTTTTCAAAACGGGTTGGTTCATTGGAAAGAGGACACTTTTATTAACACTTTGGGAAATTTTCATACTCATATTCCAAGAAATGGATTTTATACGAATTTTTAAAACTTAATCGGCGAAAATTGCAAAATTCGAAAAAATTGTCGATCATTTCAAAAATTTATTTCTCAAGAACTAAAAGTGATTTTTCAAAACGGCTTTTTGCATTAAAAAGAGGATACTTTAATTAATAATTGGTGATATTTCCACAAGGATCCTTCAAGAAATTAATTTTATAGCGAATTTTGAAAATTATCGATGAAAATTGCAACATCGAAAATTTTATCAAAACTTCAAATATTGTTTTCTCAAAAACTAAAAGTTATTTTTCAAAACGTGTTAGTTCATTCGAAAGAGGGCACTCTTATTAACACTTTGGGAAATTTTCATACTCATATTCCAAGGAATGGATTTTATGCGAATTTTTAAAACTTAATCGGCGAAAATTGTAAAATTCGAAAAAATTATCGATCATTTCAAAAATGTATTACTCAAAAACTAAAACTGATTTTTCAAAACTGCTTGTTGCATTAAAAAGAGGATACTTTAAATAATAATTGGTGGTATTTCCACAAGGATCCTTCAAGGAATTAATTTTATAGCGAATTTTGAAAATTATCGATGAAAATAGCAACATCGAAAATTTTATCAAAACTGCAAACATTGTTTTTGCAAAAACTAAAAGTTATTTTTCAAAACATGTTGGTTCATTGGAAAGAGGACACTGTTATTAACACTTTGGGAAATTTTCATTCTCATATTCCAAGGAATGGATTTTATACGAATTTTTAAAACTTAATCAGCGAAAATTATAAATTCGAAAAAATTATCGATCATTTGAAAAATTTATTTCTCAAAAACTAACAGTGATTTTTCAAAACGGCTTGTTGCATTAAAAAGAGGACGCTTTAATTAATAATTGGTGGTATTTCCACAAGAATCCTTCAAGGAATTAATTTTATAGCGAATTTTGAAAATTATCGATGAAAATTGCAACATCGAAAATGTAATGTGATGATAAATTACAAGCGAAGAGAAAGAAACTAGACGAAACTGTAACAAGAGATTTTATATATCGTATTAAGATTGTTACAATGAGGTTGCTAAAGGCAAACCTGATATTTTTCTTAAAACAGATAGTGTCCATAGAAGTCTATATGGTGTTTGAAATAGTCTAAAAACTGGTGGCAGAAGACAGATACTGCCTATAGAAGATTATATACTGCTTGAAATCGTCTAGAAACTGCTGACAGAAGATTAAATTCTGTTGGCAGAGAACAAATACAAGTCTATATACTGCTTGAAATAGTCTAGAAGGTTATAAGAGGTTATGTTTTGCCAAATTTTTAGTTTAAAATTATTAATCATCTTACTCAAGCGCTTTATTGTCTGTATTTGGTAACAAAAAAACTAGCATCGAACATATCAAAATCGTACATCCTATCGTTAAAAACGGTGGTAGGCAACCTATTTTCAATAAAACGGGAAAAAGCATATTTCCGGATAATATTCCCACTCGAGCCATGGTAAAAATTATAGCTAATCCAACAGTTCTGAAATTAAAACAAATAATTAATTCCAAAAAAAGTAACAAGGTTAAGAAAGAACCTTAAACTTGTAGGAAAGACATCAACAGAAATAGTCATTAAAACATCAGTACAAACAGTTCCTAAGCCAGTGTTTATCGCAGCCAAAGCAGTCATCATTGCGATGTTGACCGAGAAATAGATGAAGAATCCAGCTAAACCGCTGATGACACCAATAACGATTAAAATTGGTTTCTTTCCCAATTTATTTATCGTTAATTCGGTGATTAAAAAGGCTAATATGGTTGAGGTGAATATAATTGAAGAGTTTATATAGACTGAGCTATCAGGATTCTGCGAAATTAAAATGATTATATAAAATCGGTAATAAATAAATAAACTTACCTCGTTACAATTATCTAATTCCGCAGTCGAATTAATATTAGTAAAATTTTGAATCATTTTACAAAAATCAGCATCACTATTTGGATTATTTGTCTTATAATCAGTTAAAATAGTAAAAATTTGTGGCAACCAAGTCCTTAAACTATTCATACACGCCACAAATCCAACTTGAATCATACCAATCAACAAAAAATTCCATAAATAATCTCGTTGAAACAACGGTTTAATTTGTTGAACCCCATTTTTTAAAGCTTGAATCGAAGAAGTACTCTCAACCCTTTTATCTTCGTTGATAAGCTTTTTAACCGGATAATTTTCGGGGGATTTCCCCGTATTCAAACAAAAAACTTTTTGGAAAACTCTTAAAGCTTCCTCATTTTTACCAGCTGTCATCAAATATTTCGGACTTTCCGGTATGAAAAAGTGCCCAATCGAACTGATGATGCAAGGAAACGAACTTATCATCAAAAAAAAGTTCCACGACTTTAACGTTCCGTTTAAGAACTTAACGTTCCAATTCAACGGTATTATCAACCAGGCTAAAAGGGGCACCACCATATTTCCCGCCGCATAAACAAGCCCTATTAAAAGCACAACTTGAGCTCGATATTGCGAGGAATGATATTCAGATAACACTGATGTTAATGTACCAATGGGACCACTTATACTAAAAATTAGAAATGAAACGTTGATTAAAATGAAGTTATTGTCTTACATAAATCCAGAAAAAAATTTTAAAACCACCAACATTTTATAAGTCTGCGAAATTCCGATTAAAATAATAAAAAAGGCGTTTATCGCAAAACAAGAAACGATTATTTTCTTTCTTCCTATCGTATCGGCCATAAAACCCCATATAAAAGCACTCGGAATCATTCCTAAATATGTAATACTATTTAAAAGTCCGGCTTGTTCTAAAGTTATTTGTAAATCGCATCGAGCTATTGGTATAACATAAGACATCGTCGTCAAATCAAAATTTATAGCGAAATAACTTGCTACTATTAATAATATGAGGAAAATATTGAATTTTCCAAAATGCGCCTCAGAAATTGCCGTTTCAAAATCGACTGATTCTAAAAAAAAATTAAATAAAATTTTGTTATTAAAAATAATATTTTAAAACTACATCTTTACCTTCATAATTAATTAATTCTTTGTTAACAGTTTTTGAAGTCATTTTTAGTTAAACCGTGTGAGTTTCTAAAATAAAATATTTAAACCTGAAAAACCTTTTAAAACTCAGAGACAATTGCATGATTATAATTTTAAAATTTCCATGTTTTGATCTGTAAACAAACCAGAAGATAAGTTAAATATACAAAAGTGTAAATTTTCTCCACGAAACTAAATCTTTTTACACCGACGATCTAAAATTTTGTACTAGAAACTTCCGCATTTATTAAACATCCTTTTGGATGTTGCAACCTTAATCTGAAGCATGTGCGAGATGAACTTCGTACTCCAATAAACCCGGAAGATGTTGTTATAATATTATTATTGATTAATTATTTTCTTATGATAAGATAATTCAAAAAGTTTGAAAGTTTATAAATAAATATGCGAAATAGTTGGAACGAAATTGTTTATGGATTATGTTTTTGCGAGTAATTATGAACATTTTTTATTAACATTATTCCCAACCAAACTCTTTAATTTTTGAGTTAATAACCATTTTGTTGTTAAAAGAATTTAATTTGAAATATTTGTGTTATTCGCTGGGTTGGTAATAATCATAGTTAGGTTATAATTGCTTGTGGATAATGGTTTCTTGGTTCATAACGAACAATTTTCATCCATAACATTTTCTCCCATCATCTTCACTTTGCGAGATATGATACAAATGTTTATCCAAAAACGTCAATTTGCCTTTTTCAGATTTTTTGGTTTATAACAAAAAATGCGAAATAGTTGGAACAAAATTGTTTATGGATTATGTTTTTGTGAGTTATTATGAACATTTTTTATTTATAAATAATTTTTATTAATATTATTCTCAACCACACTCTTTAATTTTTGAGTTAACCATTTTGTTGTTAAAAACCTTATTTTGACATATTTGGTATTTTAATTCGCTGGGTTGGTAATAATCATAGTTGGGTCATAATCGCTAGTGGATAATGTAGTATTGATTCATAACGAACAATTCTCATCCATAACATTTTCTCCCATCATTTTCACTTTGCGAGATATACCAAATGTGATGTTTATCCAAAATCGACAATTTTGCCTTTTTCAGACTTTTTGGTTTATAAAAAAAAATTCGAAACAGTTGGAATGAAATTGTTTATGGATTATGTTTTTGTGACTTATTATGAACATTTTTTATTAATATCACTCTCAACCACGTTCTATAATTTTTGAGTTAATAACAATTTTGTTGTTAAAAGCCATTAATTTGCAATATTTGGGTTTTTGATTCGCTGGGTTTGTAATAGTCATAGTTAGGTTATAATTGCTTGTGGATAATGTTTTATTCGTTTATAACGAACAATTCTCATCAATAACATTTTCTCCCATCATTTTCAGTTTGCGAGATATGATCATAGGATGTAATAAAAATGTTTATCCAAAAACGTCAATTTCGACATTTTCAGATTTTTTGGTTTATAACAAAAAATGGGAAATAGTTGGAACGAAATTATTTATGGATTATGTTTTTATGACTTATTATGAACATTTTTTATTAATATCATTCCCAACCACGCTCTTTAATTTTTGAGTTAATAGCCATTTTGCTGTTAAAAGCCTTTAATTTGAAATATTTGGGATTTTAAATTTGCTGGGTTGGTAATAGTCTTACAATTAGTTGGGTTATAATTGCTTGTGGATAATGGTTTCTTGGTTCATAACGAACAATTCTCATTCATAACATTTTCTCCCATCACTTTCAGTTTGTGAGATGTGATAAAAATGTTTATCCAAAAACGTCAATTTTGACTTTCAGATTTTTTGGTTTATAACAAAAAATGCGAAATAGTTGGAACGAAATTGTTTATGGATTATGTTTTTGTCACTTATTATGAACAATTTTTAATAATATCATTCTGAACCACGCTCTGTAATTTTTGAGTTAATAACCATTTTGTTGTTAAAAGCTATTAATTTGAAACATTCTGATTTTAAATTCCCTGGGTTGGTAATAGTCATAGTTGGGTTATAATCGCTTGTGGATAATCTTTTATTGGGTCATAACGAACAATTTTCATCCATAACATTTTCTCCCATCATTTTCACTTTGCGAGATATGATAAAAATGTTTATCCAAAAACGTCAATATCAACTTTTTCAGATTTTTTGGTTATAACAAAAAATGCGAAATAGTTGGAACGAAATTGTTTATGGATTATGTTTTTATGACTTATTATGAACATTTTTTATTAATATCATTCCCAAGCATGCTCTTTAATTTTTGAGTTAATAGCCATTTTGCTGTTAAAAGCCTTTAATTTGAAATATTTGGGATTTTAATTTCGCTGGGTTGGTACTAGGCATAGTTAGGTTATAATTGCTTGTGGATAATGTTTTATTCGTTTATAACGAACAATTCTCATCAATAACATTTTCTCCCATCATTTTCAGTTTGCGAGATATGATCATAGGATGTAATAAAAATGTTTATCCAAAAACGTCAATTTCGACATTTTCAAATTTTTTGGTTTATAACAAAAAATGGGAAATAGTTGGAACGAAATTATTTATGGATTATGTTTTTATGACTTATTATGAACATTTTTTATTAATATCATTCCCAACCACGCTCTTTAATTTTTGAGTTAATAGCCATTTTGCTGTTAAAAGCCTTTAATTTGAAATATTTGGGATTTTAAATTTGCTGGGTTGGTAATAGTCTTACAATTAGTTGGGTTATAATTGCTTGTGGATAATGGTTTCTTGGTTCATAACGAACAATTCTCATTCATAACATTTTCTCCCATCACTTTCAGTTTGTGAGATGTGATAAAAATGTTTATCCAAAAACGTCAATTTTGACTTTCAGATTTTTTGGTTTATAACAAAAAATGCGAAATAGTTGGAACGAAATTGTTTATGGATTATGTTTTTGTCACTTATTATGAACAATTTTTAATAATATCATTCTGAACCACGCTCTGTAATTTTTGAGTTAATAACCATTTTGTTGTTAAAAGCTATTAATTTGAAACATTCTGATTTTAAATTCCCTGGGTTGGTAATAGTCATAGTTGGGTTATAATCGCTTGTGGATAATCTTTTATTGGGTCATAACGAACAATTTTCATCCATAACATTTTCTCCCATCATTTTCACGTTGCGAGATATGATAAAAATGTTTATCCAAAAACGTCAATATCAACTTTTTCAGATTTTTTGGTTATAACAAAAAATGCGAAATAGTTGGAACGAAATTGTTTATGGATTATGTTTTTATGACTTATTATGAACATTTTTTATTAATATCATTCCCAAGCATGCTCTTTAATTTTTGAGTTAATAGCCATTTTGCTGTTAAAAGCCTTTAATTTGAAATATTTGGGATTTTAATTTCGCTGGGTTGGTACTAGGCATAGTTAGGTTATAATTGCTTGTGGATAATGTTTTATTCGTTTATAACGAACAATTCTCATCAATAACATTTTCTCCCATCATTTTCAGTTTGCGAGATGTGATAAAAATGTTTATCCAAAAACGTCAATTTTGACTTTCAGATTTATAACAAAAAATACAAAATAGTCGGAACGAAATTGTTTATGAATTATGTTTTTGTGACATATTATGAACAATTTTTAATAATATCATTCTGAACCCCGCTCTGTAATTTTTGAGTTAATAACCATTTTGTTGTTAAAAGCTATTAATTTGAAACATTCTGATTTCAAATTCCCTGGATTGGTAATAGTCATAGTTGCGTTATAATCGCTTGTGGATAATGTTTTATTGGGTCATAACGAACAATTATTATCCATAACATTTTCTCCCATCATTTTCACTTTGCGAGATATGATAAAAATATTTATCCAAAAACGTCAATTCTGCCTTTTTCAGATTTTTTGGTTTATAGCAAAAAATACGAAATAGTTGGAACAAAATTGTTTATGGATTATGTTTTTGTGAGTTATTATGAACATTTTTTATTAATATCATTCTTAACCACGCTCTTTAATTTTTGAGTTAATAATCATTTTGTTGTTAAAAACCACCTTTAATTTGAAATATTTGGGATTTTAAATTCGCTGGGTTGGTAACAATCATAGTTAGGTTATAATGGCTTATGGATAATATTTTATTCGATCCTAACGAACAATTCTCATCCATAACATTTTCTCCCATCATTTTCACTTTGCGAGATATGATACAAATGTTTGTCCAAAAACGTCAATTTTACCTTTTTCAGATTTTTTGGTTTATAACAAAAAATGCGAAATAGTTGGAACGAAATAGTTTATGAATTATGTTTTTGTGACTCATTGTGAACAATTTTTATTAACATAAGTCGTAACTACGTTCTTTAAGTTTTGAGTTAATAACCATTTTGTTGTTAAAAGCCTTTAATTTGACATATTTGGTACTTTAATTCGCTGGGTTGGTAATAATCATAGTTGGGTCATAATCGCTAGTGGATAATGTATTATTGATTCACAACGAACAATTCTCATCCATAACATTTTCTCCCATCATTTTCAGTTTGCGAGATATGATCATAGGATGTGATAAAAATGTTTATCCAAAAACGTCAATTTCGACATTTACAGATTTTTTGGTTTACAACAAAAAATGCGAAACAGTTGGAACGAAATTGTTTATGGATTATGTTTTTGTGACTTATTATGAACATTTTTTATTAATATCACTCTCAACCACGTTCTGTAATTTTTGAGTTAATAAGCATTTTGTTGTTAAAACCCATTAATTTGAAATATTTGGGTTTTTGATTCGCTGGGTTGGTAATAGTCATAGTTAGGTTATAATTGCTTGTGGATAATATTTATTCGTTTATAACGAACAATTCTCATCAATAACATTTTCTCCCATCATTTTCAGTTTGCGAGATATGATCATAGAATGTGATAAAAATGTTTATCCAAAAACGTCAATTTCAACATTTTCAGATTTTTTGGTTTATAACAAAAAATGGGAAATAGTTGGAACGAAATTGTTTATGGATTATGTTTTTATGACTTATTATGAACGTTTTTTATTAATATCATTCCCAAACACGCTCTTTAATTTTTGAGTTAATAGCCATTTTGCTGTTAAAAGCCTTTAATTTGAAATATTTGGGATTTTAAATTCTCTGAGTTGGTAATAGTCTTAGTTGGGTTATAATTGCTTGTGGATAATGGTTTCTTGGTTCATAACGAATAATTCTCATTCATAACATTTTCTCCCATCACTTTTAGTTTGTGAGATGTGATAAAAATGTTTGTGCAAAAACGTCAATT